CAGCACTTTTTGGTGTTTGCGATTCCTGTGTTTGAAAAATATTAGTAGAAAATTGTCCTTCTTCAATGTTGAATTGGGCATTAACGTGAATATCATCACCATAACCGGAAGAATCCATTATGAAAAATAAGAGAGATCGATAGTGCTTTGAGAGAGATTAAGAGAGATCGAGAGAGATTTGAGAGAGATTAAGAGAGATTTGAGAGAGATTAAACGAGATTTGAGAGAGATTGAGAGAAATTAAGAGAGGATGAGAGTTTTTGGGTGAGGAAAATGGTTGGGGGAGGGGAGTATTTATAAGGAATTTTTTGGCTTGAATTTTTTTTCCCTAAAAAATTTGGCTCGAACGGAAACTTATAATCGGCGGGTCGGGTCGGGCAATCTGGTTTCTTGGGCAACGGTAAAAAATAGAGCCGTTGGTGTTGGGTTTCTCGGGCGGCGGGTCGGGTTCAGGCAGAATTAACCATTACATTCATAAATTCGGGCGCAAATCAGGCTAACGGTCAAAAAATTATGTTGGTTTTTGGTTCAGGTCGAGCATAAAATTCAAAAAACTAGCCTTTTTTTTTGGAAATTTGGGCTTCGGGTCGGGCATTTAGGTACGGTGGAAAAATTCAAACAAAAAAAAAGCGGCAGCCAGCGGTCACGGCCCCCCTGATACGAACCCCGCCAACAATGTGACGAAACCCGTAGCCAAATATGGGATACGATCCAAGATCTTCAAGAATTGATGGAAACCGCGACCCGTTGCTTAGCAAAGCAGGAACCTTGGTATGGTGAAGACGCCACAAACAAGTATGGAAATCCCGTTTGATAAGTCAAGGGTGAACGCCACAAGGAAAACCTTGATAAGTTCGGAATTGTTCTTCAAGAACTAAAGAAGAATATCACACAAAGTGAATAAACATCAAAACTTTTTATTAAATTCGGATTTCAGCCTTAAATAGCCAAAAACAAGCTGAAAAGGTTTAAAAATTGAAAAGTCCTATTCTATCCAATGTAACGCCTTCCAGAATTAAACTTGTTTAATTATGATAATTGTGGTTTATTAGTGTGCCTAAATTGATTTCTTAATTAATCATGAGCTTTTAAATTTATTTTCGTATTTGCAATTTTATCCCTATTTATTTTATTTATTTTTCCTAATTTTCTTTTCCTTCTATTTCTCCTTTTCCGTTTCCTTATTTCCTTTTTCCTTTCCCTTCCTCACGTTACTCTCCCTCTCTCTCTCTATCTCGACACTCTCTCTCTCCTTACTCTCTCTTTACCTCGAGCTCTCTCTCTCTCTCTCCTTACCCTCTCCCTCTCCCGTTCATCTCTTCCTCTCTCTCTCTCAAAGTTTTCTTTCTCAAGGGCCGGATTTAAACCAAAAACAGAGGTTTTCAAGAGGTTTTCAACATCAAAGCTTGGATCGAGGTAAAACTCTTTGAAACTTACTTTAGATTTTCGGATTTAGCTTTGTGGAACTCGTTTTAGTCGAGTTTGGTGATTTTTGGTTTAAATTTTATTTTCAAATGGAATCCGAATGGGATTTGGTGAAACCTTGATGAAAAATTAGGGGTTTTTGATTCTTTGGACCCCATTTGTTGACTTGAAACTGGATCTATACATTTTCCTTGAGAATATGTCGAAATCAGACCCAAAATTTACAGGTTTTGGCTTTGTTCTTCGCGAATCGGCCATTGTTGGCCCTGTAATTTTTCCCCACCAGTTGACCGGTCCGGTCGACCGGTCACCCTTTCATAGGTCGACCGATCCGGTCGACCGGTCACCTCTCCACCGGCTGACTGGTGGAGTTACACCCCTCTGTCACCGGTCGACCGGTTACCACTGAAACTGACTCTAAACAGCCCAGAAAACCCTGTTTTGACCCCGAAACTCGATGTGGGATTGACCTAACCTCATTTGAGAACTCAAAAAGAGTGGATTAGCCACACGAATCCTTGTTTTCCATTCGATTCTCCGGAATAAATTTCCATTGTCAAAGAATCATGATTTGAATTAAAAATTGTTTATGAACATTGATTTTGAACTATGGCACACTACTATGATACAATTGCATCTAATTAAACGAGAATGTTTGATGAGAAAGGTCAAACTCTAAATTATTGATTTTGATGGGAAAGATAGTGGCACGATTGGAATTGGAGCCTCGAAGGCAAGCGGAGCTAGGGCTACGTGAAGACAGCCACATGTTTGATATCCAAAAGGTAGGATATTCTTGTCCATATCCTTGTTAGCCTCATTTTAAATTATTTTGGCCAATGAAAATGTTTTAGAACAAAACATGTTTAAAGAAAATGATTTTAAAGAAATTGCATGAGAATGCTATTAAGTTTTCCAATGATTTTGGAAATGAGATTTCAAAGCGTATCAATTCTTAAAATGAAATATTTTAAGGAATGATACAATACATGGTGGCCACAGAGATTGGGATGTGGGAATCGCATCCTTAGGGGCAGGTCCCGAAACCCGTACGGATCCGCTTCTTGTTTAGTGGAATTATGGCTCTGCACTTTTCATTAGACAGATATTTTTACCGCTTCTTGTTTAATGGGATGATGAGCTGCACACTTTCATTATACATACATATTCTATTATGTGAGTATTTCCTTTTTTTTTTAAAAAGGGATGATCGGTTCCGGGTGTATATCTTCGGACCGTGAGTACCTTTATTTTAAATGCTTTATAAAATTATATCCTACTGGGCCTTTCACTCATCTTTCTTGTTTTCAAATGTATTAAACCCCTCCAGGCGACGGGAGGAGTAGTGCGGAGTAGGTAGCTACTACCGGTGACGTGGACTTGACCTCGGGAAGCGAAGAGTTGTATTTCCTCTTATCTTTTATTTCAAGGCATGTATAAGAAATTATGAATTGTAAACTTAAATATTACTAGACTGTGGTTGATGTCATATTTACTCTTGTTTATGTTCATGTATGCTAAACACCTGTGGAAATTCCTGACATGATACTATGGACGTGATTTTAGACTGGTTTGGTTGGAAATTCCACCACCGTTCTTAAAATTAAATTTCTCTTGAATGCAGGGGCTCGTTTGGAAATACCTGGATGTTTTGGATTTGAAAGAAATTAAATTATTTTGCTAATCACTCTCTCAAACAGGTTTAAGTTTCTAAACGAGCCTCCACATCACTAACCCCGGTTTAGGGGCGTGACAATTCTATCATTAATTAAGATAGAAGCCTAAAATAAGATAAACCTAAAAACAAGATAAACGCAAGCCTAAAGCTTATCCTAGGGAAGGAATCCGAATTTGACTCCAACTCCTTCCTAAAAAAGCCTAAAAAGCTTATCCTAGGGAAGGAATCCGAATTTGAATCTAACTCCATCCTAAAAACGCCTAAAGATAATCTCTTAGGAAAGGAATCCGAATTTGAATCTAACTCATTCCTTAAAAATGCCTATTATGCAATTTAAATGTTTAAATTGAAACTTAAACCTAAAAAGATAGAATTATGATAAAGGCAAGTCTTAACCGCAATTTGTCTTCATCCCGGGCTGAAAAACACGTCTAACTTCTTAAAATTCCCCCTTGCACGTGTATCCTGGATTGGCATGCAATGGCTCAGTGGACGTTTAAGACTAATTGGCTCTCTTTCGGAATGGCTCAATGGACGTGTAAGACTAGTTGGCTCTCTTCCGGATCGACTTTGATGAGTATTTCTTGCATCCCTGATGTTCACCCCGAATGTTTTTTTCTCGAGCTGCCCGAGCCCGAGCCCGTGAAATTTGCGGGATTCTAGCACGCCCACCGCCCGGAGTTCCACCACTAATTTTAACCTTACCCATAGAGACATCCTACAAGAGAAAGTCCATTTTTTTTATGTTTGAAAAGCCATTTTAAGATCAGTTTACATATTTTAATTTATTCACGAAAATTAATAAAAAATCAAACCATCGAGAGTTTCTTTGTTTTGAGTGAGTGTTTCTTATGCGTTTTTATAAAATTCTCTAACTAATTTATCCCCAATACGTTTTTTGGTTGAAGAACAATTAATTTCAATAAATGCTAACCCTAATCTTCAATACAATACGAAGTCGTTAAATAATAAAACATGTGGCGTTTCAGTTTCCTTTGCTTTACATGAATGCTTTTTTAACAAGTAATGAAATCCTAGAAGTCAGGATAAAAATTCAGAAAAAGGATAGAAAAGGAGAGAGAAGAAAAAAAAGAGTCTTATCATATTTTTGAAGACAAAAAAGAAAATATTTTTAGTGTTATTAGTCCTTAAACTTGTTTAAAGTGACAGTTGTCTTGATTATTTTCAACGATCAATCCATACAATTAATAAACTTGTCTGACAATATATTTTTTTAAAATTAATAAAGAAGATAATTATGTGTTCATAACCTAAAATTTGAAAACTTTACAATAGCAGTCAAGTTATATAAAATTGCTGCAATTGCGAACAACATTGTTGCTTCTCATGTAACTGCATTTTGCACCTTTATAAATTGCAAATTATCATCACAAAAAATTGCTAAACAAAGTTCATAATTAGTGCATTTTGCACCTTTATAAATTACAAATTATCATCACATAAAATTGCTAAACAAAGTTCATAATTAGAGAGTGTCTCAAGTATTGTTAGTCACTTAACGTTTAATCAAGTTAAAATTAATCAGATTATAAAAATATATAAAACAGAAAATTTTTAATACATATCAGACAATTAAAAATAGAGAAATTCTCATTTTTTTGGTCCTCTCAAAGAAACTCTTTCATAATTAATGTCCGAAAAATTAGAATTTATTGACCACGAATAATAGAAAGTGAATATATCGTGATACAACGATAAATAAGGAAGAAAGAAGACGAAATATAACAACGAAAATATCACAGTTAGAGAGAGAGAAAGAGAAAGAGAGAAGTGAAGAAAGTACAGTGGCCCAGACCCAACCCTACACACATAGGCTTATTCTACCACCCCCTACTACAAATACCACTCTCCTTCTGATTTTTTACTTTTTCTTTCTCTCTCTCTAAACAAACATCTTCTCTCTCTAAACAAACCCTCCTTCTCTGTCCTCAATGAGAGATTAAGCAAGCTTCATCATCATCAGCAGCAGCAGATGGGAAAGTACATGAAGAAGGCCAAGGCAACTGGCGAGGTCGCAGTCATGGAGGTTTCACAATCCTCCCTCGGGGTTCGCACCCGAGCCAAGACCCTAGCCCTAAGAAAACTCCAGAAATCTCCGTCCTCGGCCCCCGCGCCGGCCGCCAGCTCGGGGGGCTCCTACCTCCAGCTCCGGAGCCGGCGGCTGGAGAAGCCACCGCCGACGATCGTCGCCTCGAGCGGGAACCAGGAGGCGAGGAGGCAGAGGCAGGTGGCGAAATTGGGATGCGCGCAAAACCCTAATAATGGCGGGGCTAATTCTGTTTCGAATTCGAGCCCTAGCAGGGCCAGCCCGAGGCTCAGGGCGAGTCACGTGCTGCAGGAGGGGTCACGTGAGTCCGATTCGGTCGAGAAAGCGGAGGAGAAGCCGAAGACGGCGGCGGCGGCGGTGGGTGTTAATGGAGAGGAAGCACATGGAAACGGCGTTAATGGCGATTTGGGCGTTGAAGAGGCTTCCTTTGGAGAAAATGTGTTGGAGTTTGAAGGTAGAGAAAGGTGGGTTTTTTCTTTTTCTTTTTTCTTTCTTATTTTTTTTTTCCTTTAAAATCTTGGTCTGAATTTTGTTAGGGCTAACTATTTCTATTTTCTGAAGGAGAAGGTAAACAAATTGGAATTTTTTTCGGAGTTTCTGGTTGGGAAGAAGGAAATTTTTTTCACATAATTGAAAATTAGTGATATGAATTGCCTAAATTTATGATAAATGTTGTGGATTTTCTATACGTTTTACTTCTTATTTTAGGGTTTCTGAAACATGTTGCCGTTATTACAATGGAGATAGAGGAAATTTTGGTTTAGTTTGGGCTTCACCTTTTTTGTTCGCCTAAGTGCCAAATTTCTGCGATTATAGAGCATAGCAATTGGGGACAAAAGCAAATTTTAAATCTTTCTCCATCCATTTTTAAATTTTATTGTTTTATGTGTATATATATATATATACATATTTATATTTTGAAGTTTTTGTATGGTTTTTTCTTGCTAAGAAATCGGAAAAATGAAATAAAATCATAAAATTTGGGGTTTTTACTTTTGGGGTTCTATCAAATTCTGTTAATTTTAAGATTTATTTTTTGGAAAAAAATTCCCCCCTGTTTTGAGGGTTCTTGCTTTGAAATTTTCATTTGCTCTGAGACAACATAATCCTTGAATTGAATGTTTCAGAAACTCACCTTTTTAAGATAAAGCTTTGATTTTTATTTCTTTAGTCAAATGATGCTGATTTTAGTGTTATAAGATTGTTATTGTAACCAGAAGTTCATCTTTCCTAGTCGTTTATTCATGATTATTACTTATTATGAGTGTATCTTCCGTACTTTGGTGTTCTTGACTCGGTAAAACTTCTGTATTGACCATATGTCGTCTGTGAAATAATTGTGTGTGTATTACGGTGCTGAGAGAAATTTGCTTTTTCTCGTCCCTGGAACTACTTTCTCTATCGCTCAGCTCAGTGGACTATTCCTCAAAAGTTGAACAAACTGTGCCTACTCTCCTTGTTTTAAAGATCATTTGAATTTGGAAGGAAAAAAAAAAAAGAAGAAGAAGAAATCAGTTCAAATTGTTGGTAGGCAAAAGGGTTGGGGTTTAGTTGGTTTGTAGCTCTGTTATTCATGTGTTTCTGAAAAACTTGGTCATGTAAGTATGTAACTGATAATTGTCGGGGAAAGTTTAATGTTTTTTTGAGTGTTAGCAATTAAACGGAAAAAAGGAAGGAAAGAATTGTCAGGCGGGCGTGGTACTACTAACCGCAGGCCATAAGAAATTAGAAAGAAAAAAAATTGAAGCAGTTCTAAGATTTTTGTTTTTTATTTCCGTAAAGTGATATATTAAGTTTATTTTTAATATTTTTCCGCCTTAAAAATGTGACCGGAATTTGGCTTGAATAATGTAATGGTAGAAAATAACTGTTTCTTTATAAGTATTATAGCAGTACTGCGTACTATGCTTGTATGTGTTGGAGTTATTTTATGCATGATTGGTGGGTCCTTTTACTTTTCTAGGATCATACATGTTTGTTACCCTGCAATTTATATGATTGTCTTTTGGGTCAGATAATAATACAGAATTAGAGACTAAAAGTAGCAGTAGAATAGTAGATGGCTTTACTGGTTCTCGAAATGGATGCTGTTGCTTTATCTTATGCTACTTTACCAGTATGTCTCTTCTCAGTAAAACTTGAGCAGTTTTGTGATGTTAATCTGTTAATATTTGCTTTTGTTTTGCTATTTTGCTGAAATTTAGTCATCACATTTTTCATATCTCAGAGACCTTAAATCTTGTTTGTGACAGAAGCACTAGGGAATCCACACCTTGTAGTCTGATAAGGGATCCTGATATCATTAGAACTCCTGGTTCAACTACGAGGCGTACTAACTCAGCTGAAACTAACCGGAGAATACAGAACTCTTCCCAGAGACACATACCAACTGCACACGAAATGGATGAGTTCTTTGCCGGAGCCGAAGTAGAGCAGCAAAAACAATTCATTGACAAGTATGTAATGCATCACTGGTATTTTTCGATTCACGAATTTGGGATTTTTAAGATCTTTTGATTCTTACAGTGTGGGAATATTTGCAGGTACAACTTTGATCCTGTGAGTGATAAACCGCTCCTGGGCCGTTACGAATGGGAGAAAGTTGATTCCTAGAGGAGATAAAAGTGTTTCCGCACATTCTTGATTGAAGCCTTTAGGAGTTTTTCTTTTTTGAGTAGCAGGAGTTAGTTTTTAGTTGTAAAAGGTGATGGTTTTATTTCCATTTTCCATCATCCTCGTTTTACTTGTAAAGAAGTAGGGAGTATCAAAGATGTGTAGACTAGAGTACTAATGGTCTGTAGCATAACAGAGGTTATGCAAGTACACAACAAATACAAATCACAAGTCCTTTGTCTAACAGATCATCTTAGAGGGGGGGGAAAAAAAACGAGGGTGTGAAGTTTTTTGGGTTAGGGTTCAGTCAGGTAGGTCAGTTTATGTGGTACAGAAATTACTAGTTTTCTCTCTCGTTGTACTGTATTTCTTCCTCTTCCTTTGTCCATACTTGTACTGATGGAAAAAAAAAACTCGGAATAAAACAATGCCCCATTTCCCTCTCCTCTCGATATGTCTTTTCCTTTATCTTCTTATGTTGTATAAGCAGTTAATTTTTGGCCTTTTTAACTTTAGTGGGGGACAATGAATCTTTCAACAACCTTTACGACGCTGTACCCCACATTGATCTGCAACAACATTATTTAGAACCTACTGGTTTTACACACACACACACACACACACGTATTTGAGAATTGTATGGTGGGTTTGGCCTAATAACGGTGGGGCAGATTGTTTGTGGTCATGTATGGAAGAATCTTTTCCTCCACTTTCTTTTTTGGTGCGTATTACCTAACTGTGTTTGAGATGTTGGCAAATTTGTACTAACTTTGACATCTACAAGTCATGTTCAAGTTTGGTCGATTATATGTATAATAATAATGAATTTACCATATAATTCTATAATGGGCTATGTTACTAACCTCAGTGAACTTTAAAAAATAATAATAATAATGTGCATGTACCTTCAGGTGTTGAGTTCTGCATAAGAAAATCTGAAAGGAAACAGAGATTTTAACTATAATTCCTTTAAAATTAACTATTATATATAATTCAGTCCGTTTCTGCGTGTTTACTGAGGCCACTACAAAGTTCATTATTTATATGGCAGGAGAATTTATCATGGTACTGTTTTCCCATTTTTAATTTCATGGAGATTGACATTGTGAAACAGAAAACGAGGCCTTTGTCGGCTTGAGACGGCAAATTCAATAATTTTCAACAAAAACTCGTTCATGGAGTCTACAAACGTGAAACTGTTAAAATTCTAAACAGTGGGAAAAAAAAAAAAAAGATTCCCATCTTAATAGACAATAATGGGCAATCTGCTTCACACGGCCACAGTATGTATGGCTGTGGACTTGTGTTACTTTAATATACATATATGATATACCTATATCTATATGTATACATGTATATATGCCTATATACATTTGTATGTATATGTGGCTGTGGTGAAACCGGGGAAAATGCTGTGGTTATAGTGGAAAAGTTGAAATTTGATGGTGGCTTAAACAGTAATGGTTGAAACCGAGGTATCTTTAATTTCCAAGGAGACTTTTCGCATCTTCAAAATGAATTCTTAATAAGTTTTTTTTTTTTTTTTTTTTTTTTTTTTTTAATTTAAAATTTTTTTTTTTGTTTACTCACCAAATGGAAGACTCCAACAAACAAATTGCCCCCCACTTACTTATGTGTCGCTTGACTATGATCAACTCAACAAAATCTTTATGCCCTTGTCAGCTACGTGGTGCCTCTCAAATTCATCCAATCAGGGGCAGATGTGATATTTCACCACGTGTAGACATTAGAAAAGTAACCCAGGGTGTTATTTTCAAAGTTGTGGTGGTGAATTGCCGGTGGGCTGCCTGTGAGTCTGCAGAGTGGAAGAGATGGGTTCCGAGTTGAGATGATTCTGAAGTCTCAGGGACACGTTGGATAAGTTCAACATGTTCATATGAATTTGTTTCAATTCAACAATGTTGTTTTTGTTATTTAACATCGGAAGATTAGGGAAGATTTATGAAACCCTTATAGCTTAAATTTCAATTTTTAATAAATATATGAACTTTTTAATTACAGTCTTTTCTCTTATAAAAATTTAAACTTTAGTTCGAGTTGCTACAAACTCATTTGTACGTTTTAGAACCCAAAAATGAGATGCATGTTACATGCTCGTTTAGTTTGCTGATTTGAGTTTTTAATTCGAATTGAGATGTGACTTTATGTAAGAGTTTTTTACTACAGTAAAAAATTAAATATGACTATTTTTTAAAAATTTTTACTGTAGTAAAACTCAAATTTTAAATTTAAATGGTAAAATAAATGGAGCCGCAATGTGGCTCTTACTCTTCTAGAGATTAAAGACTAGTTGCTCCAAAATCATCCAGGCTGAAAATGTCTTTTCACACAAAGGCAAAACCAACGCACGTTATGTTCAATTTCAAAGTGAGTGATGGTGGGGTTGGATTTGGAATAGTGGTGGCCGGTGTGGGGTCAAATTGCAAGTGTCCAGAAAGGGAAGAGACAGGCTTGACCCCATCTGCAGACGATTTTTGGAGGCTTTACCAGAATTACTCTGGGGTGAGTGTTGGAAACGGCATTACTTTGGACATTTGTGCACCCAAGAAAAAAAAAAAAAAACTGTCAACTGTAAACATTTTCATAAGTTTTATAAATAAAAGGTGGAGTCTTTTTCACTCAGTTGGGCTTATTGAGCATTTCAGAAATGTGGAGTATCTTTCTCGGGGTCTGACATCTTCAATAACTATGACAGTGCATGTATATAAGCGATATAATGTGTGTGTGTGTGTATATATATGTGTGCATATAGGTGGTCCTAAGTTGGTATGTTGTGCACATTTGCAAGGATGATGACATCTCTATAGCAATGGAAATATGAAAGAAATGAAAACCCCTTTTATAGAAGAGTTGTAAGTTATATATTTCTAGGGTAGGGATAGCTGTAAACCGTCAAGTTTCGTACTTTTCTTAACCAAATATAGCATTCACTTCTAATCACATCATTCACTTTAAACTTTCTTTTTTTTTTTTTTTTTTTTTTTTTTTTTTTTTTTTTTTTTTTTTTTTTTTTTTTTTTCCCCCCCCCCCCCCT